TTGTTTGTTTGTTTGTTTTTTGCCATATAAAAACATGCCATATATTATTTGAATTTGACAACAAGAAAGTGAGGAAGAAATCATCAATAATGAACAAATGTTTGTAATCTGATATACTGTATCTACATCTTTATTGGTAGAATAGATACAAATACACAAAGAAGAAGTATTTTAATGACAAAATGTAGAGAGAGGTTTAGATTAAAACAACATTAATACCAGAAGAATGCTAAGCGCAGAATTAAAGGAACATATTGATTCCAGGTGTACACGTGCTGTTAAGCTTATCAACACCATCACAATAGCTGTCTTTGTATTTTAACTGTACACATTTGTCAGTTACATCAGCTTGAAAGGATTTTCCCAAGTCAACAATTCAATTCAATCCAATTTTATTCATATAGTGCCAAAGCACAACAACAGTTGCCTCAAGGCACTTTACATTGTAAGGTAAAGACCTTGCAATAGTACAAAGAAAACATTTCTGAATCATAATATTTGACTTTCTTTTTATGATTTAAAGACCTTTACACTGAATCTCTGGACATTTACACAAACCAATCAATGCACAGTAAACTCAAAATAGTATTTTTCATTGTACACTTATTAATTTTAAGAGGTTTTCACATGAGGGCTATTTAGACTGTTTGAAAAATCCAAAGCAGTCCCTGAAGAGTTATTTTTACACAAATATATAGCAGAAACACGAACAACTGAGTCTGGTTTGATTATTATGAACAAATGTAGATTAAAACAGTCTCCAGTGACACTGATGGTACAATAACCTGCTGCTTTAAGAAAGAGATGCCTTGACTCGAGACTTAAGCGGGTTCCAAAAGGGCATTAGCTTCCTTAATCATGTTGTTTTCTCGATGTCACTCAAAGTCATTCACTGAATATAGTTTCATTGTTGACTCAGCAGAAGGCCTTGAGGTATCCAGCTTTTAAATTCCCAGTCTTTCACTGTTTTTTAAACTTGTTAAAAGTGATCGCATTTGATCCCATCAGTGTCAATAATCTATTATCAGAGACAATTAAACGCTTCTGTAGTCTGTATAAAGTGGGCAGCATGGTGACGAGGTGGTTAGCGAGAAGGTTCGACGTGCAATTAGTGGGGTTAGGTGAACTGGTGATTCTAAACTGGCCCTAGTTGTCTCTCTGTGTCAGTGCTACATCAGACTGGTGATCTATCTGCTAGGAAAGGCTCCAGCTACCCCCATGACCTTTTGCCTGCACTATCAATTTGGAAGAAAACTAAAAGGTAATAAAAAATAGACAGTAAATTAATACTACAGAACTTATACATAAAGCATATTTTTAATAAAATAAATGGTTATTTTGTTATTTTACTGGAATTTTTCTCCGTTTTTTATGTAGCTGTGGCTCTTTCTTTCTTTTTGTGTATGAAAATCTTCTGACTATTATGCAAAGCCCTCCTTTGTTGCCCACAGATAGCCTAAAATAACATAATGTTCAAGTTTTCTTAACCACAGCATTTTCAAAATACAGTATTTCCACCTGACAGATATTCATGAGACACATGAATAAATGCACATTTCGAAGCATTAAGATGAGCGTCAACTGTGCCTGTGGCATTTTCACTCTGTTACTTCTGCCCTACACCTCTGCCCACTCTGTTGCTCCTTCCTTTCACCAGCCTCCTTGTGTAACTGCAGGTGCTGCATGAAATCATCCAGGATCTGCTGGGCTGACACAGAGTTCACATCATCAGTGTCCTGCTCCAAAAGAGTTACCTTTAACTCTTCCTTCCCGGCCCAGTTATCACTAGCTACATGGCCCTGCCTGAGGTCTGGAAGGGTGTCAGCATGATTAGTGGCCAAAGAGGACTGCTGTTGGCTTTGGGGGTAGATAGGCTGTGGCCTGGCAGCATAACTGGCAGCCATTTTCTTATAGATAGCAGTGCTGATCTCAGCCACAGAGAAAGGCAGGCTGTGGCTCGGCTCATGCTGACCCGAGAGGCCGCACTCATTTCCTGTTGCTGGTACACTCTGTTTAAAGGGTGTGAAAGCTGTGACCCTCTGTGGACCTGCCTCTGGTTTAGTCAGCCAATCATGTGCTGCTTTGTCTGCTTTAGGAGGGTGGGGCTGGCCATCTGTTTGCTGAGCGGTGGCAGAATGGCTGTTTGCAGCAGAGGTTGTGAGAAACTTCTGTACAGCCTCAGCGGAATCAAAATGCTTCTCCAGTAGTTCCTTTATCAAGCATGGCACCTAAATTTAAGAAAAAATATGTATAAGTAAACATTACTCTTTACATTTCAAGATTCATGAAATGCATCTGCTTTCAAATCTAATTCTGTTGCTTTAGTAACTTTGAAATATTTGCTTCATAAACAGCATCACCTCAGTGCTTCATCATAGTCTCTGGCGCAACATAGCATCTTTCATTGGTTGCTATGCGTTATTTAGCATATTTCAAGGAACATTTAGCTGATTATGCATGTGCAAGTTGATGGACAGCTATGCTTCAGTACTTTGTTTGCACTGACTGGAGATCCAGATGAGTAATGTCTCCTAATATGCTACAAAACACTACAGGGAAACACACAAATATTATAGATAACATGTTGTGCTGCCACTCTAAAAATACATTTATTAGTGTACAGTGGCATACACATGGCACTTTGCGTGTTTACAGTATATAAATCACACTCAGTATCATGAGTTCCTCAAATAGACGACAAACTATAATGTCAGTTGTACTTTTGCCTGAGTTGAAAAATTTGTTTTGATATTTAACTCTCTAAAGTTGAAGATCTCTTACATTTTATGTTATTTCTGGTTATAATGAAATGATAAACATTCAGTATGTCCATAGGTTTGTCTGTAGGCATTTCGCATGAATCTCAGGGCCTGAGGCCTACTGAGTAGAGAGAAGTGTGCACTGATGTCCACTAGATGTCAGTGTGCTTACATTAATGTTCTCCAGGGCTGCAATGGTCCTGTGGGCGTCTTCCAGCTCTGAGCTCAGGTTGGACACACGATTAAGCAAGTACTTCCTTTCACTGCTCAAGCTCTCGGACTGCAAATGCAAAAAAAAAGGGATAACATGCATGAAAGTCAAACGATGCGTTTCATTTTATAGATTATTATAGATTTTTTATAAATCTCCAGTTTTCTCACCGCTATGTGCAGGTGCTCCCCCAGCAAGTTATTGGCCTGCTTGGTCCCAGTATGTGTTTGCAGAAGGCTTCAAAACAAGAAGGAAAATATGTCATTCATCTATTTTCTGCACTAATAGAATTAATCCAAAATCCTTAAATTTTATTTTTAACACAGTGCATAAAGGCCCATTGTTAAACGTATTGCCTGCACCACTGCAATCTTTGAGTCAAGTCAATGGCAGCTGTTTGTCAAGACAAATGTCAACAACAAACTCTCCTAATAAACTTACAACAACTGACGCACAACTCGTGTGCAGTGTGAGGCGACCATTCACTCCAGCTGCAGCAGTCTGCTGAAGAATGTTTGGTATGTGCCTGACTGCCAGCAGCAGTTGTTTGGTTATAAATATGGGCCTAACAGAATCGGGGTGAGTGTGAAGACGCAGTTTATATGTCACTGAATTTCCACCCACGCAAGGAGGAGATCTGTGGCCTATGCTGTTCATCCAGAATGTTCCACTGATCAATTCATCTGTAGGAAGTGTTAAGTAAAGCCAGAGATTGAGTTCATTCAATAGTGGCTCTGGAATCAATATGTGTGCACACGCCCTCTTGTAGAGGCAAGCTCAGTATTTATTTATGGACATGAGTCAGAGAGTTTAAGCAATGCACAGCCATCACGTGTGTTTTGAATTCTGTTTAGCCTAACCTTTTGTATTTCTCCTTGACATGACTGAGCTCGTCTCTGGTCCTCTGCAGCTCTGCCTCCAGGCTCTCAATGCAAACCACTGTCTGCAGCAAGTTCTGGTGGAGATCGGCATTCTCCTCCTGCAGTGCCCTGAACACAGAGGAAGGATTAGAAACAGAGGGATGTGTC